TCCCCCCCCCCCGAACGGGTTCGCCTAGTTGGTTAGTTAGTAGTAGTTAGACGGGGGCTTAGTAGCCATGGCTTGGTCACCCTCGGTGAACAAAGAGAGGCTCTTTGTTCATGGCTGGCTCAGAGTGGCCTTGGCGAGTCCACTTTGGATGTGTATTAGTGGACTGCAGCGAGAGGGATGTCCTCTTCCCCTGCTGCTGCAGCCGAGGTGGAGTCGCGGAGGAAGAGGAGTTTTGGTATGACGAGCTACTCGCCCTATCCTCCGCAACTCTGACAGGGCCACACCGTTGATGCGATGGTGTGGGGGCTGCGGGAGGAGAGGAGTGAAGATATTGCGAGGCACCGCTCTCCCTACCCAAAGCAGCCAAATCTTGGTTGGCGGCGGAGCCATAGACTAGATCCGCCGCTGGGGTCAGGTAGGCTAGTGGTTCTGTGTTATCGAACACAGGGACGTCCGTTGTGCAGGTGCAGGAGGTCGTGGAGCAAATCGCGCCATATGTTCTGGTTCGCCTTACCTAAGAAGATGGGGGAGAAGTAATCCTATCCCGAGGAGGGGCCGCCATGGCGACCGGCGATGGTGGGGCCATGGAGGTGTGAAAAAGCATGGCCTCTGCCAATATGCGACGAAGGCGGAACACCATGGGATTTTAGTCAGTGCAAGCCCGACATACCCGTCTGTGGCACCGCGAGGCGGGTATGCGTCGGCATTTCCCATTTCATTAAAAAAAAAACAAAAGGGTTCCTACCCTGCAGGATTACACTGAGTCGTAAGTCATAACCTTTTCACTGGCTCGTAGTCCATCCATCACTTGTAGTCTTAACTTGCCCTACGTCTATCTGTATGTTTTATTTATGTCTTTCTTTCTACAAATATCAATTAGACGAACATTATTACACCAGAAACACTTATTTAAGACTCATTAAATGATTAACACAACAGGAAAGTATACCAGCATAGTTAACACTCAAGGTAAGAATTCAGTAAACATTGTGACTAATTGGGGTTTTGCGTTGCATAATAGGAAAATTATACGTATTAACGAGTTACATTCACATCATAAAACAGACGTATCTCAAGGACACTCATTTTCAGTTTACAGTAAACATAGTCTAATTTCTGCTGACACCACTGGGGGATTAGACAAGTTGACTTTCCATAATCATTAATGCAGATAAAAGACTATAATATATTTACATTAAAAAAAGCGGCCAAGAGCGTGTCGGGCCACGCTCATTGTAGGGTTCCGTAGTTTCCCGTCCGTCACAATAAGTGTTCCCACTTATGAGTTTAAAGGTGGGTATCCATTATGTTCGCGCTCCAGCGGCGCTCCGCGCTCCTGCAACTGCTCCCGGTAGTGGGTACTGTTGTTTCCATCCAAGTTCAAAATGATATTCCTAGAAAGTCCTTATAAAGTTCTATTTTTCAGATTTTTTTCATATTTTCTAAACTTATGGTTCAAAAGTTAGAGGGGGGGACACACATTGTTTTTTTACTTTTGGAGCGATTATTTCCGAAATTATTGACTTTATCAAAAAATTATTTTAGTAAACCCCTATTCATTTTTAAATACCTTTTCAACAATATATCACACGTTAGGGTTGAAATCAAAAACAAAATCACTTCCTACTTTACATATAGGGGGGGCTACCCTAATAAAACATTTTTTTCCAATTTTTATTCTACCACTTTGTCGGCGTGATTGATACACATATTGGTACCAAATTTCAGCTTTCTAGTGCTAACGGTCACAGAGATTAAGCGAGGACGGACAGACGGACAGACAGACATGGCGAAACTATAAGGGTTCCTAGTTGACTACGGAACCCTAAAAAGTAAACATCAATGACAAAAACTAAAACGAATAAAATAACTTACACATAATTAAAAAGCTTCTGAAGTTGGAGCTAAGTTAAATGTGAATCAAAGTCCCGAATTTAAAAGTCACAAAGTATTTTACACATTTTAGTTTTTTGAAGTCTTCCTATACTGACTATATACTGACTTCCGATACTTGCGTGTGGGGATGGAAGAGGGTGGGTTCAGGGGAAGCACCGTACCCTACCCTCCTTGTGGAAAAGTATAGTTTATGAGAAATGATTTTTTTTGTAAAATCATAACATTGCTTTTTACACGGGAATATTGACCCAAAGTTGCTCATGCAATATTGACTTACTCACCACCCCAGCTTTGGCTAATTGGTCACCTTCGTCAACCAGCCTCAGCCGCTATGGCCTGCATAGGTGCCTGTGATTTGCTACAGTGGGTTGAGGCTGCTCTCCTTCCGTATTTACGGCTTTACAAAATCATTAGGGGTAGGACAGTATGTGGAGTAGCGTTTTATGAAAAACCTCTTAACTGTTTTCCACTGCAACTTTTAAAATCAAGTACCGTACATCTACTTCATAATACTAGGACCATAATACATGTAATTATTGGAACAATTTTTTTAATAACATGTTTTATTCGTCATTTAAATAATCATTTCTCAAATAAACATCATTTTGGATTTAAAACAGCAGCATGATGTTGACATATTTGTACCATATTGACATATTTGTGCATCATTATATGCAATTTTTAGTGAAATTTAGTTTTATTGTAATTAATTCAAAACACATTTCTGACATCCAATGACAGTGTAAAATGTTCAAGCTTAAACCTGACAAGCCTTCGGATGTCTTTCGCCAACCCAATTATGTTATTGATTAATATACAAGTAGATTATATGCATGCCCCTAGTTTTAGTCTTTTATGCTATTATATGTGAACATTTATATGTATGTAAAAGATTGTTCTTGGAAACACAGTGGTATAACCCTTCTTAACCAATCTGTACTGAAAATAATGCTTATTAAATAAAATTAGAAAGACGTTGGATACACTGTTAAAGTAAGCACCACAACCAGACCTAAGTATGATGAATATTTTTAAACTCCAGAAGTACAAATATGCTTAGATACAGGTACTCTGATCAGAAGGCTGCGAGGTTGTCAAAATAAGTAGTTTTAAGAAAGGTTCTTAAAATTAACAAAAAAAATTCAATGTCATAATGTAAAACGATATTACTTCATTTTACAAGTACAATTAAGGTGTTAAAAGAAAAGTGATTAGGCTTTTACAAGGATAGTGCATTTTAACACTCAAGTCAGCATAACCCAACGCAATTAAGTTAAAAAACAGTAATGATAATATTTAAAGGATACGAATTACCACCTTCTCCCACGGCTCTACCATATACAATTCTGTTGCAACTAAATACCTGACATACCAAAGGTTGACAGATTTACGAATTCTTTGCACTATTTCAAACATTTTATTATCTTGATTTATTTACTTATCGAATCTCGTAATACTTCTTATGTACTCGAAAACAAAATATTTGTATTATTTCAAAATGACGATAAACTTAAATTGTAAACTTTTTGCATTTATATAAACAAAAAAACTGAAACTATCTCAAAAAATAGTAAACACACTACTTGGAACACCGCTGAACTCCACGCTCCACAAATTAAAAATTAAATTATAAACTTTATAGCGCTTCACTTCAGATTCACGGTTTTAGTTAGTTCTACAAAATGACAGATTGACAAATATCTGACACTAGGGATGTTCGATGATTCTCGATGCTCGATGATAACAGATGTTAAAAATTAAAATATCGATGTTTTAATTTTTGATGGCACACACAAATTAACAAGAGTACTAAGAATCCCCATAGGACAATGCCGTAGCTGAACCATGCATATTCATACGCGTAGTAGGTTGTTATTGCGGTGGTTATATCCGTTGTTTTTTTTTTACTTCTCGTAACGCGTATATAAAGCTGCTTAACTTCCTATGTAATTTTTCTATATGTGGTTTCCAAGTAATATGGATATCTATTATTAGGCCTAGTAGTGTGTGCTCGTTAAATGTATCTATAGTAAAGCCGTCGTTATCTATTTTTTTATCTAATTTTTGTTTTTGATATGGGTGAAAAGACGTACAGACGTATAGACGTAAAGACGTACGTAGTGATATTTCTCCTGTTCTCTAAACTTCATGAGAAGAACGATCGCTACGTGCTAAAGCATAGCCCGTCTGTCCCTGAAAATTTGTAGAATTTATAGCCGTGCTGCCATCGGTAAGTACCTTGTATCTGCGAAGTAATTTTTTAATTATCGACAAAAAGAAACATTATGAAATGGTGAAATATTAACAAAAAAAAAAATAGATAAATAATTATTAATATTTTATATGTGTAATAATTTATAATATTTATAATAATTAAAATTATAAAAAACATAATTTAAAATTTATTTATTAATAAATAATAATAATTTCCTTATTGTCTTTTCTTCTTTGAATGATGAAATCATTTCAAACTAGTGCACAACAGCCTGCTTTTATTGAGAAAACTTAGCGATCGCAGCGCCTCACTTATTTTGTCCATATTTCTGGGACACTATTTTGTACAGCGATCGTTCTCTTGTTCTCTAACCTCCACGGTCACTGTCAGTCAGGTGACAGGTGTCGGATAGGGATGTAGGATGTTGTCAAGGTTGCCGATTTGTGGGGAATTCCCCAAACTGCGGGGAATCTCAAGTTGATTGGGGATTTATTGGGGATTGGCATTATGCGGGGAAAATGCGGGGATTTTAACATCTTCTTTAATATACTTTTTCGAAAATACCAAATACTTTAATACTTTTTTTAATTTAGGTACTTATGGATAACGGAGGACTCAATACTCTTTATTGCACTTATCTTTTTGAGTATGAATGAGAAGAAAACATCGCTTAAAAGACAAGCATCCAAGCCAAAAATCTTAATATTTTTTCTGATCTATGGTTGCAATAAACCAAATTGAATGAAAGCTAGAAATATCGGAAAGTATACCGACACTATGATTAGGGGATTCCCTTTCTTTTGACGTTTTGTGAAATAGTGAATTTCTTAACATTATAATATTATAATACGTATTTTGTCGAGCCGTAACGATACTATCTTGTACAAATATGGATAAATGGTTAATGAAAGGCCAAAACAAAGAAGATAATCCTAAGGTAAGGTAATTAATAGCCTTTTTATTTATTTGTGCGTGATCATGAAACATTAGCAGGTTACCGTCTGTCAGAAACTCAGTGATTATAACTATCCTAATTTTTGGTTTTTAGCTTGAACGTAAAAGGAAACCCGAAAAGGAAACATCAGAGGCTTCAACTTCTAGTATAGAAGTAGAATATGCTGTTCCCATTCCCAGTTCCAGTTTGACTTCAGTGGGCTTGGCAACAAGTGAGTCAAATAATCCACAAACTAAAAAAATAAAACGCCTGAATAAATTTAATGATTTATGGCTTCAAGAACCAAACTTCTTGAGCTGGCTATGCAAAGATTCGAAAATGAAAGATGGAAATGATTTAGCACACTGTATGCTTTGTTCGGTGACGATCATAGCGCATAAAAGTGATCTGATTCGACATATGAATTCAGATCGCCATAAGAAAAAATCATTAGAAATACAGAATATTCCAAAAATTTCAAATTATTTGCCAGTGATGGATTTAGAAATAAATGTACGAAAAGCTGAACTAAAATTAGCCGGAGCGTTGGCTGAAAATAATATACCAATATCATTTAGCGACATCTTGGGCCCACTCTGCAAAGAGATTTTCGCAGACTCAGTTATAGCTAAAAATATGAATTTACACAGAACCAAGGCGACGGCTATAATAAATAATGTTTTAGGAAACACATTTTTAGAGGATATATATGAAAAATTACGCGGAGAAAAAATCTTCTTTTCATTAATAATGGATGAAACGACTGATCAGAGCTCTTTAAAACAATGCTGTTTTACTGCTGTTGTCTATGATGAGAACACCAATAAGGTAGAGCATTTGTTTCTGGATATGGTGGAATTGTCATCAGGAACTGCTAAGGGACTGTATGACTGTTTACATCAAATGCTTCGAAATAAAAACATATCGATAGAAAACATGGTAGGGTTTAGTTCAGATACCACAAACGTGATGGTTGGAGAACATTGCTCTGTTTTTGCTCTTCTTAAAAAAGATTTGCCTCACATTGCTCTGGTGAAATGTTCTTGTCACATGATACACCTATCATCATCTAAAGCTTGTCTTAAATTGCCTCGAAACGTTGAAGATTTTTTGCGTTCTGTTGGAGCTCACTTCAGTAGAAGTTCACAAAGACAACTAAAATTTAGAGAGTTTCAAGAATTCTTTCAAGAGGAGATTCACAAAATTCTCACACCAGCTCAAACTCGATGGCTCTCGCTGAAAGCGTGTATAGACCGTGTCTTAGAGCAGTATACTCCATTAAAAGCCTACTTGATAGAAACAGTCTTCTCAGATCCGTCGAAGACTACCGAAGAAATGCTGATTACAATGAACAACCAATTCACTGTGGTATATTTGGAGTTCATGTCTTACGTACTTGCGCTGGTAACAAAATTCAATGTCTTGTTTCAATCAGAAACTTCCCTTCTTTACAAATTGAAACCAGAAGTCGAAAACCTTTTGAAAACGTTGTCTTCTAATTTCATGAAAATTAGCTATATCAAGTCCTGTGCTAATATTTTAAACGCAGACTTCAAAAAACCCAACACATTTTCTAAGTTTAAACGAAATATATATTGGATTAAAGGCTGGAGAAAGTATTGAAATTTTAAAAAATGACGAAAATGTACCTCGTGCTGCTATTGCAGATTTCTATAGAACCTGCCAGGAGTTTTATATTGATTTGACGTCAGATATTACCAAGCGATTTGATTTTGGTGATCCTCTATTTTCTATTATATCCGCTGTAAATCCATCAGAAGCTCAACAGTTTCTAATTAAATCACTTGTGCCTGTGCTGAAGCGATTTCCAGTGCTTTATAAATTTGTGACCGCACAAAAATTGGATGACGAGTGGTGAACTCACGCTTTGTTAGATTTTGAGCAACATGGGCTTGAAATTCATGGAGATAACATCAATGCCGAAAGTTACTGGGGTAAAGTATTTCGCCTTAAAAATGCTGCGGGAGAATACATGTTTCCAAACATAAAAATTGTTATGTCTTTGTTGCTCATATTGCCATTTTCAAACGCGTCGGTCGAAAGAAAATTTAGTGCGCTTCGATGTTTAAAAACAGAAAATCGCAATCGGCTAAATACAGGTACTGTAGTGTCTTTAATGGCACCAAGAGAGGGTATAAAAAAATTGGGCGGCAGTGCCAAGTTTAATCCTTCCAACAAAATGCTTGCATCAAACGTATGGAAAAAGTGCAACAAAGTTTAAAAAATAAATATTATTTAAATAAGTTAAACTTGTTTCATTGTTTAAAATAATATTGAGGGGAATTTGTGGGGAATCAGCAGATTTTTGTCCCCAAATTTGGGGAATTTCATATGGAATTTTGGGGAATTACATACATTGACATTAGCAACCCTGGATGTTGTAGAAACATTGTTGTTTAATTTATCTTACTCAAAACATCGATGTTGGCCATTATGTTTTTGAACATGTACCTATATACTAGGTTAAAATTAAATTAACAAAAATTAGTGATGTTGTTTATGTTTAACTATTAATGAAATAAAAGAAATTAATAAAAAAATAGTGTCAAACAATAATAAAAAATGGGAAGAAGTTAACAAATATCAAGTTCATTTATTATATTATTACCGATGATGATGAATGTTATTATTTTTAAATATTCCTTTACACTCAAATCTAGTATAAAAAAAATCACTATGGGACCTAATTAACGATTTAGACATAGGTTTTATATCAATTACTCATTTCGTGAAATAAAAATATGATTATAGAGAAAAAATTATAAAACTACACAAAAACAAAATAATAGACTTTTCCGTCACCTTTGTTAAAAAATTAATCAGGTAGCCCAAGCAGTATGTATCAACGCCGTTTATAAAATACACAGTCGAATGCATTATGCAGTGAAACTGTCTATGCTCGCGATCACTCAGTGATTTATTTACATAAACTTCCAGCAAACAATAAACTCGTTATGACAAGCTCAAATAACAGCTAAATATAATTAAATTGTGTAGATACTTACATATTGTTTCAAAATTATGTGGGTATAGACAGCAAGGGAAAAACAATTATTTTGAATATCAATTTACTTAGAAAACAATTGCTAAAACTTTGTATTTTTCAAAGTTCCACCATCTGACATCCGCCCATTTGCACCAACATCAACGATTATAGAAGTACAATTGTATGTTTGGCGCACTAACGTTGCGTCCTGACAACTTATCCACTGAACTAAACTCGCTCGATTACACGAACGGCGAGTTTAGTTGCGGTGGCGGGAGACGCATGGGAGGGCGGCATTTCGCACAAAAATAGCTCGGCCGGCTATCCCGTTCAACTTAATCGTTAACTTGCTACTTAACTCGCTTATTGCCGTTCAAATGAGGTTCTGACTTAACTCGCCAGGTTCGCAAGTTAACTCGCTACTGTACTTGTCGAAGTGTAAATCGGTCTTTAGAAGACATTTAGTATTGCTCTCATGGCTATTGTAAACTCCACTCAACTACGACATACCAGGCAGGTTGAGTTGGAGTCAAGAAAATATATTACCATTAAATAATAATAATAACATTAAATAAAAAAAGCAAAGTAATTACTTTCACTCGAAAACCGAACAGACCAATTGTAAATGTATATAGCTTACTTGACGCTCCTCTGGAAAGAGTAAATAATATTCGAGACTTAGGGCTGTTATTAGATTCCAAATTGGACTTTCATCTTCACGTGACAAGTATCTGTAAGAACGCGCATAGAATGTTAGGTTTTGTTATTAGGACTGGAACACAATTTGACAATGAAGTAGTTGGTAAAATAATGTTTAACGCATTTGTTCGTAGCAAGCTGGAATATGGTGCTGTTGTCTGGGACCCGTTCGAGGACAAGTATGTCCTTATGGTTGAGAAGATACAGCGTAAGTTGGCCCGTTGGTGCTTTCGGAAGCAATACGGGTACTATCCTCACCTGTATCCTTCTTTGTTCGTATCAGGCATGGTTGGTATGGAAACTTTAAAATTTAGGAGGGTTATGCTAATGCTGACACATTATCTCTCTATACTCTATCATAAGATCGATAGTCCGCAAATACTAGAGAGTGTACGCATTTTAGTTCCCCGTAATATACGACAGGAGTCAGGCCTGCAGCTAGCACCGCGGCCTCGTTTGCTAGCGCGCCCTGTCGCGCGCACCAGGCGCGGCGAGCACGCGCCTACTATCCGCGCATTACGAATGTTGGTGACATATACTTGCTCAGTACGATGATCTTGACTTATTTGCTGATGGATTGAGTACACTTATAAGTAAATTAAGAAATATTGTAATTGACATTTTATAAATTTTTATTCTTGACATTGATTATTATAACTACTATTTTAATGATGTATACTATTTTGTTTGACTATTTTGGTCTTTTTTGTTTAATTAATTTGACTATTTTCGTTTTATTAATTTGATTATTTTCGTTTTACATTTTTTATTATTTTATTTGTTCTGCAATTATTTCAACTTAATTTTTTTATTTTAATTTTAATTTAATGTAATTTATTTGGTAAAATTGATTATAACTTAAAATAGACAATTTTAACTTAATGTATCTAATGTTGCAAGTGTGTTGGAGGCTATCATCTGTTAGCTTGTAGGCATGTATCTTATAAATAAATAAATAAATAAAGTGTATCTCATGAACAGCCCGTAATTCATATACCAGAACCAACTACTGAAGAAGAAGAAACATTTATTCTTTAAAGAATAAAGAATAAAATAAAAGAAACCAATAAAAAGTTTTCCGTTTTGCCTGTCTCATATTTCACCATCAAATTAAGTATTTAATTTTTGTTATGATTATTTTGGTTAAGATAAATGAAAATAAATGAATATCATACATACCGGATATTTTCTTTTAACTTTTGAATTATAGCCTCACACGTCTCCTGTATTATTAAATCCAAAGTAAGAGGAGCGACAGCACACATAAACTTTAAATCTTCCAAGTCCATACCAGTGACCAAGTACCTTAGAGTTATAGAGAGCCTTTGGCTGGCAGGAATAGCTTGTCGCATATTGGTATCTTGCTTTACAATATTGGCTCAAATCAACTCCAACAATGTTTCAAAAGAATCATTGTCCATTCGTAGAAAATTTTTATAATCGTCGGGCTCAGTTGCTTGAAGAGTTCTTTGCAAATGTTCATGCGTGAATCGATATCTCATTTTATACCATTCCTTACACCATCGCCTCTTTCTTTTCTCTTTTTCTGTGATAGATACCGCTAGAGTTATAGCAACGAATGCCTTGTCTGCGTTGGAAACCGTTATTAATTTTTGCGACGACCACTTTTCTGAGCACAGGGCGGTGAACGACTGTGGACTTGACGGTACCTTCAAGTCGCGTCAAGTCCCTCATCAAGTGAAATCGTCAAGCACGTAGACTTGTCAAGTGCACTTGATCGTCTCGCGGACCCATAACTTTAATTTGGATAAAAATTATTTAGTACTCGTAAAAATTTTTGTCATTTGGAAGGTTTTTAAAAAATTTTACTGCCATACAGTAGGGACTAGAGCTATACAAAGCAAGAGTAGATTTCGGCAATAGTAGCCTATTTTTATTTGGTCTAATTGAACTAAACTTATGAAGTGGGGCTTAAAACTTTCTGGAATTTTTATATTTGCCCAGATTCTTATAAATTGTTTTTCATTACAAATAATTGCTGCGTATCTTTACTATTTTCCCACATGACACCGTATGGCAGCAACGAAGATGTGTTTGCGTAATATGCTGACTGAGCGCTGGAGACATCTGTGGTTTTCTTTATTTCTCGTAGGTAATACGTAATTGAATTTTGTAGCCTATTTTTTACTTTATTTATATGGGCTTTCCAGTTTATATGGCAGTCGATTTCCAGACCTAACAAGTTGAAGTTGTCAACAGTTCCTAAAGGTATATTATTATAAGTAAAAACGATATTTAGTGGTGATATATAGTAAGATATATAAACCATTATTATTATTATTGATTCACTTCTGAACAAAATTAATTAATGGATATAATTTCTATAAGACAGTTTGTCACTGCTTCTCCTTGCATGATATCTAAACCTTTTTTTGCCACAAGTCTCGCAAAATATTCTAATACAGCAATCGATATAGTTTTTTAATAATTTAAATAACGACTCTAATAGAGGCAACTAAAGGCCACTCCTGAAAGATAAAGTTTTTGTTTTTTCTACCACAACTAGTAGCGACAAACATACTACATATACTGGGTTTTTTTATAATTACAAAACTTGTTGACAGTCTTATCATTGGCTAAATAAATTACTAAATTATGCATCTTACATAAAGTAATATTTAAAATATGCATCCCTACCATTATACTTGAAGTAAGTTGTAAGACACTTATTTACTTAGAAATATGCTAAAAAATAACAATAAGTGAATAGTGACACAATCTACTTCATTCATTGAATAACTGTCAAAATATAAAAGTATTTATAACACGTGACGTGATAAAATTATGCTTCACAACGTTATTTTAAATTTAAAAATCAATTGCCATATGTTAGTTTTGCAAAAACTAAGAAATGCCTCTCAATTAAGACTTACAATCAAATCAATTTTAGGTGGTTAGGGTCATCTAGTAACATAATAAAATATACATAGAAGAAAAAGACCTACTATAAGAGAAGATGAAGGCACTGCACTACACAACAATTTTTTTTTATCATGCAACAGTTTGAAAGCAGATGTACCACAAAACTCGGCGCTTAATATGACAACGCAGTCTCGCACGGATGAGCTAAAGACTTCACACGAAAGTGTTGACAAACTGTAGTTGTCTCCCTTTTCTAATGGAACTACTGCTTTGTTAAAAAGAAAGGAAACTGTTTTTGACAAGTGTGTGTCGATATTATAGATATTTGTGTAAATATTATTTCTATAGTAGAATATGGAGCCTCCATATGTATTATATCTCTATGAGAAAAATAGAGGATATGACATATGGTCACGTGATCTGAAATTAAGGGTATGTTCCAAAATAGAACCCAGTGTAATGTCCAATGCAAATGACGTCATGAATCGTCGCTATACTGGTGATTCGTTCCAAAACATAGGACAGTATATGACGTCATAGATTTACGCCATATTGGAAAAGTGCTGGCGTTTATTTTGTTATTTTGTGCTCCAAAACTCATTATATCTTCCTAATGACGATACCAGCAATTATTCTATAATTTTTTGTATTTGAATAAATAAAAACAAATTCTGGCATGCTTCATTCAGCGCACACACAATTAAAAATTGTTTTATTGCGGCCGGATATCCGACGCAATATGGCGGCGGCACGCCAGTACAATATAGTGTCAATTGATGTCGTCATTTGCATTTGCCAGTGTACTGGGTTGTTTTTCGGAACATACCCTATGTGTTATGTGTTTCTCAAATATGGCGACGACTCCGCCCACAACAAATAGTGTTGTACTAATTTTGTCGATGTTTTCAGTATAGATGTTATAGAAATTATAATGATTGTTCATTTCAAATCAAAAAAAATCTAAAATATAAAATGAAATTTTCAGAAAATTAAACTTCGAATGAGACGTCGCAGAGTAGACTAGGATAATTGTAGGGTTTATTTATTATAGTATTGTTTACCTAGTTTAAAATCATTTAACATTTTATTCTACATTTACATTACATGTTAATACAGACTCAATACAATATAATTTCAGCATCGTAATAACGTAAATATTTTCTAATCAACAAATTTCGTTCTTATCCTTACTCATAGATCACATACGTAATCTGCAATAGGAAACACTGCATTCTGTATTTATACGTAGAGCCACGCTGCAGCTATATTATTGTTGTAGCACGAATGGGTCGACTCAACCAGGAAAGGACCACGCTCTCACAGAATACCAGCGTAAAATAGCAGCTTAATACTACTGTGTTTCGTATGGTGAGTGTAGAGAACCGGAGACCCTTTTTTACTGAAAACGAGGCATTCAATCTTAGTCCTCAGGGATGACAACGCATCTGCGTTTTGATTCTTAATCGAGGATAAATGTAGATGTCTATGGGCCACAGCATCTACCTACTATCAGGTGGACGGTGCTCGTTTGTCATTCTCTCATCTCATTCTCTTGCAGCATAAATCCTATAGTTTGTCTCTCTTTACTGTCGCTTTTTCGATTCATCGTTTTTCACAACGATTTTAAAGAAGTTTTCACTTTAAAAAGACGTTTAGTCAAATTCTGAACCTCCCCTTTTTTAAAGTAGGCTAATAAAACACATGTTTTGTTTTAATAATGTTTTATTAATCGCGCTATTATTCATAATGTGACCTTAGACTTAAAATTATTGGTATCAGCCATTTCACTAAACATAAGACGATTGTTGCAAGCAATAAAAATTATTTCTACACTGGTAATAAAATTAAACGCAACGAAAAATTACGATTTGTACTTATATATACTTAAAGTAACTAAATATGCAATAACACAATTTGTTACATAATTTGTATGATTTTTAAAATTAAAATTAGCTCTACCTAAATGAGGTGCAGTGGAGACCATAGCTGATTTTAAAATATATTATCTGTATTTACCGAACCTATAGTACATATTTTGTAGCTATTATTCTGTGAGTAAAAACGATAACAATATTATTTTGTTTTTAATTTTTCTACATTCTATATATTTACATTAAAATATAGTTCATTAAGGAAAGTGTTAGGAAGCGGATTGCTATCACTTTATTTCACAAGAAACTATTTCTATCATAAAACTCCATAGAAATAATTCACAATCATAAAATTTTTTTTATTAAAAAATTATTCGATTAAAAACGCCAATACAAATCATCCGCGCAAAATTCTAAATATGGTAACATTAAATTAAAATAAGCGTGCAAAAATAAATTTAAGCCGTAAAACTGCTGGAATATATTAATAATTGACAACAATTTCATATATTATTGTTTCAATTTCATAAAGTCGTATTAGATTCATGCACTTTGATCCATCAGTCTTTCAAAAGGCACCAATAATGTCCAATAAACATACTATTGTATATAAAAATAGCCGCCATATATATTAGCTTTTTTATATATATTACTTACCTACTTGGCACAATTGTGTTAAATAACAAATCACATATTATTATATATTTATATATAATGAAATTCATAAGTATAACTACGAAATACTGTTCGTAATTCTATATAAACGACATTCTTTAAAATACCTTAACTCATAACGTTTTCTTATTATGGCAGCTCCATAACAAAGTAAAGTATGAGACCGTATAATTTATAATACAATTAGGTATTTCCTTTTTATATAAAACAAAATGCAAATGGTTTGGTCAGTCTGTTTTATAACCTGTAAGTACATTTTCAAGTATAATTATTTATTATTCGAGTTCAAGCTGTAATACATTGTACTAAAGTTGAAAATAGGATTGTTATTTTGTTGGACGAAATTTCGTAGGAAGTAAATGCATTGTGACTTGCTCACAGCAAATATTCGTAACACTGCCTCCGCACTGATATTGACAAAACATTGGGTTCACGACGAATATTGCCAATTTTTTTTCAATATTATACGATATTTTATTCAGCACGAATACTGAAATATCACCCCACTTTCGGAAACATGTGACACACTCCCATATTTTATGGACAATTTTGGTCATTCTAGGTATTCCGTGTAGCCCTGTGCCCCGGTGAAGACGACATCGATCCAGATCCTCGCCGCTTCACCAGAGGGCGCCATGAGGAAGTAGCGGCGCTGCCTGGTCTTTACTATGAACGTGGTCTGCGGGTTTGGAGACTTCGACGTATTACCGTGGTCTAGGTACACCTCTTCGATTACCTGGAAGTTAGAAGATACCTTATTGAACTCACAGAAAGTTAGGAATGAGGGTAGAAAATAAAAGAAGATACAACAACAAAAATAAGAATATTATTTTTTATAGAATAAGGGTGACAAACGTAGACAGAGAAACCTATAGACTAATGATTAGCGTGGCCTCGAATGAGAAAGGACGATAACGTAGTTTTAGGTTATACAATAATCTTTATGACTTTTAAACATATTTAGATAACATTTTTAATTGTTCCAGGAACTGAACTGAACAAGATTCACCAATATTAAGCTCACAAAACACTTTTTTCTCAATTAAACCAACTTGTAAACTCCTTAGATCGCTACGAACTGTCAAAGTTGTTTAGCAAAGTGTAGTTTGCTAAATAAAAAAATCGACACGGAGAAAGGGACAAACAATCACACCGCTCTGTCTCATTTCTATACAAGACGTATGCATAAATTTATCTTTTTCGTGTACGAATGCGAAAGAAGGCGTCAATTTGTCTATAGGTTTCTCTGTCTACGGTGACAAACGAGCACACAGTCTACCTGCCATTGACATCATCAGGTGGACTGTGTGCTCGTTTGTCACCCTTATTCTATAAAAAAATCTACAACGTTCGATTAAGGCGATACCCCGACCAAAACCTTGAAATAGTGCGTTTTTCAGAGACTATTATCTCATTAGTTATGAGAAATAAACTACATCTAATCACATTCCACTTTCTAATTTGTTTTTATGTGTTATAAAGACATTTAAAATCAACTTTTAAAAAATGACTAATATTATTGATTACATGCATCTTGCTAAAGGCAACGCTCTAATCATTTGAGGATTATACTAATGGATAGATTATTTAAAAATCTATATTAATCACGTTGTATTTAATTTCTTAAGTTCGCTTTTCTTTTTTAATTGAGATAATTCCAAAATTTGGGCGTTTTGCGTTTGTGGAGCGCGTGGATTGTATAGGACCGAAGGTTCAAGGTCGTTCGCTAGGGGTAGCGCCTTATGAATAAACATGCAGATACATTGTCACCCCTAAGGACTAATATAGAATGTCTCGTTTCTAGTAAAAAGGGCATCTGGTTTGCTACACTCTCCATAGGGAACCCAGTAGCATCATTCTGCTATTTTATTTTAGTATTCTGTAAGAGATTCATAATTTTTAAAAAAACGTTATGATTTAGGGTAGGGTATGAGCCGTGGTAGCCGTGGTTAACGCTCGCTGTAAATATCACAGTACGCGAGTAACCTGGGTTCGATCCCCGCCCTTCTTTGTCCTAAAACCCTCTCAGAAATAAGGGGCCTGTGCCCAGTTGTGGGACCTATACAGGCTGTAACCCTGTCGAGTCGACAGTTAGAACTATAATATAGCTGCAGCGTGGCTCTACCATGTAAAAAAGTTCACGGGTAGTAGCAGCCAAATTCAAATAAAGAAGGCTAATGATGCGTTATCACTTATCACCACTGATTTTTTTATTTAACTGGCTTTACGGCTCTGGGTTCTAGCCCTTCTGAGCCTATCATTTCTTTCAGAATCTTCATTTTGTAAATTTTTTCTTCACAATATGCTGATGCATCACATTGCAAAGTTTTTGGGAGATTTTGACAACAGCTCAACCCAGCGAACTGTTGATGACCACAGCCACTCAAGTTCATAAGGCGCCCAAGCGATCAAATTACCTTGAGGTTTATATCAACATCAAAGCACTTGTTTCGTCGTTTTCTCCAATAAACACAGGCGCAGACACTTAATTCACAAAATCACATCACTTTTACGAATTAAAATCCACTTCAAACCATTATTCAAGCGACAAAACAGAAGCGACAGTCCGTCGACGGCCAAGCTCCCGCCAAAACCCCCTATCACCACAGAGGATTATGATGGACTCGCGCTCTGCACCGTTCAGACTTGAACACAGCAGAATATTATTTTACGCTAGTATTCTGTGCGAGCGTGGTTCTTCCCCGTTCGAACCAACCAGGCACGTAAAGTGTTAAACTATTTTAATATACCTGGAAGTAAGCGCCACCTCGCGGCTTCTTCTCGCTCTTGTCCCAGTAGTACACGAACGTTTTCGACTCCCGGTCGAAAACGAACCACCTGAAAACACAGTTTAGAATATTATTTATAATCCTTTCGAAATTATCATAGTAGATATCATAGAGTATATAGAATTATATTATATAAGGTGGCAACTCTTTTTCTTAACAATTTCTGCCACCAAAAAGCAAGCACTGCACTGTTGTGGTCCGATCTGAAGGGTATTATAAAAATGTTAATGTTCCAAAATCATAACCACGCAAAATAATAAAAAACATTTGCTAAAATAAAACGATTACAGAATCAAAGTACATAATTGATTTTGGCTGTATGGTTGGTACATTTGTTATTCGTCTGTCAAGGGCTAAAAAATATAATGTCAAAATTAAAAATCAAATGGAAAATATTAAGCATGGAGTGTAGAGGTAAGGCGAACCAACTCATATAGCAACATAGTTGAAAAAATGTCCATCTGTAAGCAGTCAATAACAGTTCAAACACTCTTCACAACAGCGCTCGAGTAGCTAGAGGGTATGAAAAATGAACTTTGTGTTGTCGATGGAGTGAAATGTGCTGAGTTGATGAATTTAATATTTGTGTTGACTAAATTAGTTGATGAAACTGCAGTATTTATATCGTCAACTACTCACGTTCTTTATAGTAATTTACTAAATATAACCTAGTAAAAGTCGCCGTAAAATACGTATAGAGTGATTTTTAAAATAATAATTTTTAAAATAATAATATAATTTTTTAAAAAAGAATTATGGCGGATGGCTGTGCGATAAAATGTTAAAAAAAGTTCTTAAAAATTTACCCTCTAACTTCAGTGGCGCCACTCTTATTTAACGCTTTTCTACGGACACTTATTAATACACAGTCTGTTTTCCTTACCTCTACACTCCATGATATTAAGTAGTTTTCAAGTTACATTTGGAAGTGATTATGCAAAATGGATCCAGCCCACAAAAACCGTTTTTTGAGTTATTGTCTTTTATGGCGTCTACACATAAACTTACGTAAATCTCCATTAAAATTCTAGGCGTGACAGGCACCTTCATCCTCAGAGGTGACAAAGCATCTTGTTTGAAGATAGCTACAGGTTTCCATGGACTGCAGTAGAGTAGCCACTTACCATAAAAAATATCATTTTGGATATTAAAGATAAGACGTTTAGTGGCGGCGAAGGAGAATATATAGATTTAAAATAATTATTCCTACAGAAAGCAGCGTCAAAAGTACTCATCTGGAATCGAATACAATAGAATAATACTTATACAATGTGAGTTAATTAAGAATTTCACTGTTGAAAAAACCTTTGTCCTGGGAAGAGCCAGCAAGAAACCCAGCGGGACTCTTTTTAAACATTAATTTACAATATAATATTTTACACATCTCATAGAGCAACACGGGCCACCGGTGGATCGGATGGCAGTAGCCATATATAAGCGTTCCCCTCTGTCAAAGTATAAGTCCAATTGGTCCTATGCGTACAATAAAACTAGTTACAGCCACACTGCTCACTAGACTAAATCTACAAAATTTCATACAAAAATGCCGACTTGTTCAGTTTCTTGTTGCAAAAGGAGGTCTGTCACGTCAAATTTACAAAAAGATGGCGTTGCTAAGTAATTTTTAATGACACTATTGCTATTTACTTCTTTTTAAACTTAAACATTACAATAATAACGATCGTGTTATTTCGGATTTGTTTACCAACACAGGTCGCTCGCTCTCATACAATATGCAGATCGGTCGAGCGATTGTACCGAGTCTGTAATGGAGTTGTCGCTGTCACCGAGCGATATATTGTAATGTATCTATGGCCTCCCGTTTTGGGTTTTTTGTTGGTGGACGCTGCTGCTGTACTTCAGTTTATCAATATGAGATTGACGGCTGCATGTTACTGGTATTTATTGTTTTAATCGTTATGTGAGTTTCGTGGTGACAGACGATTTTTTGTGTGCGCAGATTTCCCCTTACAAAAAATGACAGACAGTTCTCTAACGGGAAATAATGCTATGGCTACTCCCCTCCGGTGGCCCGTGTTACTCCATGTTCCCAGTAGGTATTACCAATTATGCACCAGTAGTATAATCCCTTTGATAAATCCCTCCTGAAACGGTAGAGGTCCACGTTCAGCCGAGGATGGGCTATCACGGGCCGATGAAGATGATCAGTTATTTACTAAATAAAATCTATACGGACATACCTTTTGGACCACGTGTGGAACTTGGCGCCGAGCTTGTGTAGGTATCCGCGACACGACGTGGAATCGATGGTCACGTAGGGGCACAGCTCAATCTGGTGACCTAGATGAGACAAAGTTAAAATCGAATAAAATTATCTTAAAGTTAAAAAAAATATTACAAAACTGATGTGAAGTGTAAGTTAATTTACAGTCCACCCAATGGCAAGTAGATGCTGTGGCCCAAAGACATCTCTACATTTATCTTCGACAAAAAATCAAAATGCAGATACGTTGTCACCCCTGAGGACTAAGATGCAGTGCGTCGTTTCTAGTAAAATGTGGATGTCTATGGGCTACAACATCCACTTACCATCAGATGGACTGTGTGCCCGTTTGTCACCCAATGTTTAAAAAAAACTGTCGTTAATGAGAATATGTGGTATATTTACCGTGCCACAAGCCCAACTGCTGGTTTAGTAGTTATATGTCCATAGACAAAGATCTCTATGTATACTGTTGGACCTGCAGCTAAATTCAAACAAAGAAGGCTATAGAAGCGATGTCCCATCTTTTTTTTTTTTATAGAAGAAGGGGCAAACGAGCATGTGGCTCACCTGATGTTAAGTGACTACCGCCGCCCATGATCAACCGCAACACCAGAAAATATATAATATATAATAAATAAGAACTAAAATGGACTTTCTCACAGCCTGTACCGTTTAGACTGGAATACAGCAGTGCATGCATTATAAAGGTGTCTCAAAACGACGTCAACCCGGAACCGTGTGAAAAGGCAAGTCATGCTGGTTGTCAGAAAAATAAAAAAAAAAAATCAAAGTTGCATGTTTTCAAAATTATTATTAAAAAAAGAAAAATTTCACGTCCTGTGAAAGTCTTTTCACTCCTGTTGTCACAAATCTTTACTTTTTTTGTTGTGAAACCCTGAATAATGCTTCTCTAAACTGTTATCAAAATTTCAAACCCAGTTGCTCTAGCTTGCATAAAAATTGAAATTATTTTCTAAAAAAAAATTCAAAATAAAAAATTGCCTAGATTTAACTGACTGTATTGAAAAAAAATTGTACTACGCGCACTTTTAAATAGATGTCGGGCTTGTATTGCCGCCGAAGGAAGGCAATTCAGACATCTATTGTAGGTAATTGTAATAAAAAAAGTTGTATTTGGCTCATTAGCGAATACCTGGCGTCACTCTGTCCCGCTCGCACTTGGTAAGGTGATTCTCTCCGTCTCAGTCACTTTAGCGTCAATACCCCTCTCGCTTACACTACTTTAGAATGACTCCTTCACTTCTAGCTACAATTTACGACCCTTTGGAAAACCTTGGGTACATTAGAATAATTTTTAACCAAGTAAAAAAAAAAGTTGTTAAAACTTTTACTGAAAAAAAAACAATGTTCACGGTTGAAGCTGTAATTTACCGAGTGTTATACCATTTTGGAATCCTCACTAAATGCGCCAACTTTTGACGCTACTTGCCAAACTCGCGTAGTACAATTTTTTTTCAATACAGTCAGTTAAATTTAGACAATTTTTTATTTTGCGTGCGCAGATCGAAGTCGTCCGTGTCGACAGGCAGGTAGCGCGTGAGCGGGCGCGAGCTCTCCACGAACACGCAGCGTATATATACAGGGTGTTAGTGTAAACACCGTTATACTTGAAACCAGTGGTTTGGTTTCACTTATAGAACGTAAATTTGATAAATTTAAAAAAAACCTATTTTTTTCTATAAAATTTAAAAAGTTTCTGTCCGACACCGACCGTAAATTCATGGATACCCTATGCGCCCGAGTGACGTAATCACTATAAAGTTCACCGCCCGCGCTAGCTACCTACACAACATTCCAATAAAAACACAATAGGTACACATAACCTGTGATGTAACTTTTCCTTTATACTTTCATCCTGGCTTAGGACAGGCAAAACTTTTTACATAAATAATATAGATTTTACTAAAAAAATGTTGTTATTTTTCGTTGAATTTACGTTCTATAAGTAAAACCAAACCACTGGTTACAAGGATAACGGTCTTTACACTAACAGCCTGTATATATCTGAATACAAAGTGTAAAAGGTAAGCTGACCGGCGGACTCGACGTGCGTGCGCAGATCGAAGTCGTCCGTGTCGACAGGCAGGTAGCGCGTGAGCGGGCCCGAGCTCTCCGCGAACACGCAGCGTATATATATGAGTATAAAGTGTAAATGGTAAGCTGACCGGCGGACTCGACGTGCGTGCGCAGATCGAAGTCGTCCGTGTCGACGGGCAGGTAGCGCGTGAGCGGGCGCGAGCTCTCCGCGAACACGCAGCGTATATATATGAGTATAAAGTGTAAATGGTAAGCTGACCGGCGTACTCGACGTGCGTGCGCAGATCGAAGTCGTCCGTGTCGATGGGCAGGTAGCGCCTGAGCGGGCGCGAGCTCTCCGCGAACACGCATCGTATATATATGAGTATAAAGTGTAAATGGTAAGCTGACCGGCGGACTCGACGTGCGTGCGCAGATCGAAGTCGTCCGTGTCGACAGGCAGGTAGCGCGTGAGCGGGCACGAGCTCTCCGCGAACACGCAGCGTATATATATGAATATAAAGTATAAATGGTAAGCTGACCGGCGGACTCGACGTGCGTGCGCAGATCGAAGTCGTCCGTGTCGACGGGCAGATAGCGCGTGAGCGGGCGCGAGCTCTCTGCGAACACGCAGCGCCGGCTGCGTCGTGGCGCCGCGCTGAGCGATACTGCACAAACACACTGTGTGATACACAATAGAATACAAGAGAAGAGAATAGAATAAAGAAAGAAAGAAAATTTTTACCCAACACACAATACTGAGAAACACACGTGATAGAGCCACGCTGCAGCTATATTAAGGTTGTATCATAAAACGGAAGAACCGCCCTCTTAAAGAATACCAGTGTAAAATAGCAGCGTAATGCTGCTGTGTTTAGTATGGAGGGTGTAGAAAAGCTGAGAACCTTTTTACTGGAAACGAGGCATTCCATCTTAGTCCCAGAGGTGACAACGCAGCTACGTTTTGATTAATAAATGAGGATAAATGTAGATATCTTGGCCATACATAGCATATGTGCTCGTTTATCATGCTTTCTTCTACTTAAAAAAACTTGTGAGATTTTCTCAAAAAGAAAACAGAACTTAGCCAAGCCCGGTGTAACACGTGTGGCCGTGAAAGGAAAAGAGGAGATCTCCCGCCGCCAACGCTTTGTGTGATATTTCGGAGCTATTCTATATAGCACGGTAGCTTCAGAACTTTGACAGCGCGATTTAGGCTTCGGTGCGTTTCATTTGCGGCGCGATGATAGCACCGGCACACACACATCAAGACCGGCAGTTTCAGAAACAGGAGGCAGTGTACGTCACTGGTTTTTCCCGCTTTTACTCTGCTTAGAAATACACAACTATATAATGGTTACATGGTCAACTTCTTGTGAAACAAAGATCGTACAAAATTTTTTATAGAACTAATTTTACGAACTTTTATAATTTGACTTATTTTTAATCAACGACATTTAGGTTACTTTTCGGCATACAAAGACACCGGGGACTCAGGTGTTTAACTATACTATCTAAAGTGTTTACACAACTAAATCTTAGAAAATATGTATGATCCATCTATCAAAAAGTTTAAAATGATTTATTAGGAAAGAATATTTAATAAAGGTTACCCTGGTATTCTGTCATAGCTATATGGGGGCAATATTTAAGGGGTCTCCCCCGGGGCAGTTAGTGACCGCATGCGTGCTTGTTTGTCATCCTCATTCTATGAAAAACATCTGGATGAACTTTTTTACGCAGTCACCACATCTAACTACTTCCTTACTTTACTGTTTGGTAATTTACACTTACGTATGTTGTCCCGGCTGAAATCCGAAGCATGGCTGAGCGGTCGGCTGTCGTCGCTCCGTTTGTCGTCCTCGGTCGACTCGGTGCGCGAGTTGCGTACTTGCAACTGTGGACAAAGGAAAAAAAATAGATTAAAAAAACCCCGAAACAAAAAAAAAGAACGGAAGAACGGCTGCTAAGTCATACGCTATCGACCCTTACGAAAGTGTACGTGGGCAGTAAAATCAGTTAAAATTATTACGCGTTTTGAATTTAAAAGATAAAAATGACAGAATTTTTGAGATTTTTTTTAATTAATTTATCTTCACCATTCGCCTATATTACCTAAACTGAACCTTGCAAATTTTTCCGGTTAATGCAAAATAACCATGTATACATACTTTTCATATATCAGGACGACGGCCCTGGGCCCGTATACTATTATTTAGCATCCTGTTTTAGGATAAAGGCAGAGCTAGCTGTAACCATGAAGAAACATAGTAAGAGAAGTTGTTTTATCCAACCGCGGAGAGCCCAAAAGTAGGCAAATATTTTGGGCTGGTACATATATCCTGGCCTGATTTATTGCAAAGTCATTTCATAAAACTGCAACTATTTCATATCGCTTTAATGTCAATGTGGAATGGACTGTGCTAAATATGCGCTATCAGCGTCTTATGTTTGGCCACACCATAAAGTAGCCGTGTGTTTTGTTTTGTCATATCGTCAAACGATCTCTATTCAGTGATTGGTTCAAGGCACATCATGATGTAGAATACAGACAATGTAACATTTCATGTTATCATGAAATGGTTAGATTTGAACTAATGGGCTTTTCATGATGTGGTCAATTTAACGATCGAGAACGAATACATATGTATATATGTGCAGTCGCTATATCTGAAATTGTCGTCGGATTTTGACAAACGAATTTCGAACCTATATGCATTAGACATAGATTATATGACGTCAGCATTAAATACAAGTCGTAAAATTAAAAATTTTGCACAACCGTCGTCAATAAAATAATTTGTTGATTTTTTTAAAAATAGCTTGATCAGTTTCGATAAAATTTAAATGGTACTTTCTAAAAAGGTTATGTGTACTTTTTAGAAAGTAGGTATATCAAATACTATTCCAGAAAATATACAATGTCTCTTTATTACCAAGTTTAAATATTTAATTTAATAAAAACTCTATAAAAAGTGTTATTAATATAAATGAATACATGGTTGATAATAACCCCTGCGAATGAGGTGGTAGCTTTCAAGCTGTTTCTAAAATAAATTTTGTGAATATTTTGTAACCATTCACATTGTAAAATTTATTTTAAAATAAAGTACCGCTGGGTTTCTTGCTGGTTCTTCCCAGGACAAAAGTTTTTTCGAACCAGTGGTAAAGTAAAAAATGACTTTCAATAAGAATTACATGTAATCTATATTGAATAAAAATATTCTATTCTATTAAGTTCGGTATAGCCGCGATCACTTTTTTAAAAAAAATTAAGTGTTACGTTATATAGTACTATTATTTACTGTGTGGTGTCGTTTTTTAGGTATACAAAACAGACATTTATAACTAGCCACGTAATCACGAAATGCGTGATATAGAATATAAATAACTACTCCAGACATTCTCGAACTATTAAAATGACAGCATTATTTTTGGCAAATTTTCTACTCGTAAAAACTTAAAAAAAAACTTTCGCTCTTGAGACTCTGACCATTAGTTCTCTAAATGTTTAGACCGAAATTGATCTTATGTTTTATACGATATAAGCATGTAACACACCTGTGGGATCGTAGTTGGTTAAAATTCATACGACGTTATATCAAAATATTGATTTGACATTTTATTTTTTTTTACACAAGAGAGGGCAAACGAGCTTGCGGCTCACCTGATGGTAAGCGACTACCGCCGTCCATGAACAACCGCAACACCAGGAGAATTGCAGGCGCGTTGCCGGCTTTTAAAAAAAGAGTAGGCTCTTATCTTGAGGTCCCAGGAGTCGAATTTGTACGGATAAATCGCTGGTGGTAGTCGATTTCACAAAGAAGTTGAGCGAAGAAGAAAACTTTTTATGAATCGCACAGTAGTGAATCACTAATCATCCAGATAACATCCCATTAACGACCGCATTTCTAATGCGTTCATTCTACTCTCGTGTTTCTTCTGTCACACCCAACTTTCACTACTATACGTTAAAGTAGGGGCCAACACATTCAGCATTGTGAACTGCCATACGTGCCTTTTTTGACACATTCTGACTTTCCACAATAGAGTGTAGGGCCCCATTTACTCTATTTCCTGCGTTCACTCGTTGTTCTATATCCTTATCATATTTTCCATCCTTGCTAAATACGCACTACCAAATATACAAATTCATCTATTTGCTCGATCAACTATTCGAACCCATATGAATATAACAAAAATAAATAGAGATACTCGATGACGATCTTTCTTCATCATCGTCATTAAATACCATGCTTTGTGGTAATCTTTGATGAGGTATATATTCAGTAAAGGACGTAAACTGATAAGGAAGTAAACTGAGCCTACATATAGATAAAAGGAGTTCTACCTCCACGCTGTGGTAAGCTTCATTCTCTGTCCTAGGAGTCCGTCTGAGTATGCACCATCCACTTAACTATTTCTGCCTCTAAATAGAAGTGCTGTATTCCGGTCTAAAGGGTAAAGAGAATCAGCATAATCGCAGGCTGTGAACTATTCCATCTTAGTCCTCAGAGGTGACAACGCATCTGCAGTCTGTCTAAAGTTGGCCGCAGTAGCTACTTACCATCAGGTGGACTGTATTTTTATAGAATAAGGGTGACAAACGAACGCACAGTCAGACATATATATCTATCATCGATTAAGAATCAAAATGCAGAATGCGATGTCACTTCTGAGGACTAAGACGGAATGCCACGTTTCCAGTGAAAAAGGTCTCCGATTCCCAACACTAACCATACTAAACGCAGCAGCATTAAGCAGCTATTTAACGCTGGTATTCTGTAAGAGCGTGGTCATTCCCCGGTCGAGCGGGACGCATTCGTGATGCAACCATAATATAGCTGCAGTATGACTCTATCACACGTAAAAGTTCGGTAGTCACTTCAGTAATGTAAAAAAAATATGTATTACTTAGGTTCACGCCTTCTCTCATTTTTTGACTTCACACGGAAACTTTTACCGTGCTAGACCAATGTCTAAAGCTTCCGTGTCGGAGAAGCATTGCTTTGGTAAGGCGACTCCCTGAAAATGAATAGTAGTTTTGGGGGCGTGGCTTATCTTATATATTGTTGGTGAAGCTCACAGACGACTGAGGGAGTGTCAAAATGAAATTAATGCAATGATTTCATAAAATGAAAATTATGAAATAGCTATACCGAGCACGCGCTCGAAAAAAGAACTAAGTAAGCGCTAAATAACATTTATATTTTTTTTAACAAAACTTGAATTCAAAAAATTGCTATTTTAGAACTTAGATATGATTATTTAATATGCCTTAAAATAATTCCATGAACTTATTAGTAAAAATATTGTAGTGTAACTAATTAGAGTCTACCCTGCAATTTTTTCTATCCAGATAATCACATGTTATCGCGTTTTCATTTTATGAAATCCAAGGTCATACAGTCAAAAATCATATACATATACGGTTCGTAATCTATAAAATTAAAAAAAAAATTGTGAAATAGAAAAACCATCAACTTTTCGAGGTATCCACCTTAATTCCTGAGCCATACGGGTCTTCACGAAGATCGTGATAATCGGTAATTGATGGATGGATGACGGGAGAGACATACGTTCAGCCCTGTGGAATTTTATGGGCTGATAGTTTATTTAAAAACTCTTACTTTGTTTATGTATATTTTATTGTATTTCTGAATAAAAAGGGTCATAAAGAGCGGGCTTAATGCCTTTTGGCATTCTTTCTCAGTCAACCCGGGACGTGTGAAAATAATTGATAGGTGCTAAAAATATAAAAAACATTACATTAAATCAGAAAAAAACTCATATTAAAAATTCTTCTTGAGACTTAGGATTCTTGAATTAGGCATGAAACTGAACGTAAGGAGTGTTAGTTCATGCAAGTTTTTTTTATAGAATGACGGTGATAAATGGGCACATAGTCCACCTGATGGTAAGCGGATGCTGTGGCTCATAGACATCTACATTTATCCTCAGTTAAGAATCAAAATGCAGATGTGTCGTCACCCCTGAGGACTACGATGGAATGTCTCGTTTCCAGTAAAAAGAGTCTCCGGTTCTCTACACTCACAATACGAAACACAGCAGTATTAGCTGCTATTTTACGCTGATATTCTGTGAGAAAGTTCTTTCCTTGTTCGAGCCGACCCATTCGTGCTACAACCGTAATATAGCTGGCTCTACCACGTAAATAGGATAGGATATAAACCGTGTCTATTGTTCACGTATGCGGACGTGTGCGTGTTTGTATGTGCAAGTTTAGAATATACAATACATTCATGCAATTATTTTTCACGACGTAAATTACCGCTGTAAAGAACTCCATCGCCTCAATAAATAAGCTATTAGCCAATAACGTTCAAACAGATTTAAAACATTTGCGTACGTAGTCGTATTTCTATTTCGGCGCAAAAGAAGCGCGCGCGCCGGAGCGATAATAACATGTTATTTTGGCGGTGCTCCGACAGAAATAGCAGTTGTAAGTTCATACAACAAGTCTGGACAATCCGCGTTGTCACGTAATGTTGATGATTTGTCGTGTTCAGAGTAAAAGAATCTATACATGTAAATAAAATTGAAATGTCTGTCTATAATATCGAAATAAATGGCTGGAGGGGTTATTTGCATGTCATTAAGTGGCTATAGTAACTCGGCTCAAATTATAATTTCGCCCCCACTTCCCCGCGCGTCGTATGCTATGCACCCACATGTTTGTAACCACTAATACTGTAAGTAGATAGGTTGTTAGAAACTTATTTCATTAGGTTTATCATATTTATGCCTGTTTCTTTACGCCAACCCAGTCGCTTCTTATTTTTATTAAGGTTATTTCCCATTTTAATTTTACGTCGTCCTGTTGCGTAATATGTATTCTGATCGCAAGCGACGTAGCTTTCGCGTTCGAAAGCCGAA